CCTTCTTTGGCTACCCTTGCACATCTGCATTTCCGAAAACACCCAATTGTGGCCTCTCATCTCATCCACCCTCTTTCGTTTCTTTCTCCCTTTGAAAATTTGAGATTCCGACAAGACGAAAACCATATCAAAAACATTGGAAATAGAGGTATTGATAACGAGGGTGGAAGGTAGCCGACGGACGATGTGGTTTCATTATAGTGGAGGTAGCGATGATGAGGGTGGGTTACAAACAAATCTGAGTAGACCAAGAGGGGAGGAGAAGTGGCGATTGGTCGGTGGAAGCAGGGTGTAGATCTTCGATAATGGCAGTCTGGCAATGGTGGTGGCATAAAAATGTCATGTGTGTCTTGTTCTTGTTGTTTCATGTGTGAGTTTAGTTCACTAGAACCTTCTTGTTGGAAAGTTCTTCTTTTTCTTCATCTATAATGGTTTCTTGCAATATACAAAATGGATTTCGCCCACAGTGGAAAGGAAATTGGCAAATATGTGCATCTCCTTTGGGCAATAATAAACCCACCACCTTCCTTTCTTATGGTGGCTTGATGAAAAAGAATTCTCTCACCCCAACCCCACTGAATCTTTATCTTGAGTCTCTCTATTTCTCTCGTCTCCTTTCTACGTGGCTTGTTGGGATGTTATCGAAGAGTTGTGTTTCGTATCGAAGAGATGGTGCAGCGCAAAAGGCGATAGAGAAAAAGTAACATGTTGTCTTCTGCGAACCAAATCTAGAAGATGTTTATTGGGTTTTCAATATTTTGATTATTTTTTCATTTTTTTTGGTTCCTAAATCTCCACTTTATTTGGAAAGTTGTTGTGTGTATGTATGAGCGACAAATAAGTAAAAATGGTGGAGAGAGAGAGAGTGTGTGTGTGAGAGAGAGAGTGAGAGATGTGGACCGATTTTTTTTTAATATTTTTTTTAGAACGACAAAGATTTTATTAAAAAACTAGCAAGAAGCTAGAAAAAGAAAAGTCATCACAACAAATTACAAGCTAAGAGGGGATTATGAAGCCAATAGGTCCAACTCATTTTAGCTTTTCTACACCTATTGGAAATCCAAAAGAAAGATCTATCAATCACTTCATCTAAAATGAAAGATTTACTGGGTTGAGCCATTCCAAAGATAGTGGAATTACAAAAATTCCATAAACACCATAAGGTAGTCAAGATGACAGTGTCAAAGACTTGTCGTTGCCCTCTTTTAACGCGAAGAGAATTAGACCACGAGAGGAGATGATCAATAGAGGAAAACTGAGGAAGCTGGACACCCCACCAAACAGCAATCTGAGTCCATGTCTCGACCAGGTCATTGCACTGGAGAAAAAGGTGGTTAATAGATTCAACGGAATTGTAGCAAACAGGGCAAAGAATCGATTCCATAGTAATCCCACGGAGAGAAAGGTTCTCTCTAGTCGGAATGCTTCGTAACTGCAATCTCCAAATAAAGATATTCACCTTGATAGGCACCCAATTATTCCAACGAGTTTCAGGACCTCCTGAATGTAACATATGACTATCCAAAAAAGTTTGGAGAGAAGAAACAGTAATGGAGTCCGAGGCATCAATAGTCCACCCCAAACGATCCAGAGTGGAATGAAGAAGAACTCCCTGCATTAAGGAAGTGAAACCAGTCCATTGGGTCTCCTCAATACTCCCTCTAGGTGTATGCTTGAGACAGTTCAAATTCCACCCGAGAAGCACTCTGTCACGGACAGAAATAGACTTATGAAGATCTAGAGCATAAATCCTATGAAAAGAAGCTGCTAGTTGGTTATCCCCCTTCCATACATCGTGCCAAAAAGAGGTGTTATTCCCATCACCAACTCTAATAGGACAGAAAGGTCTGAGATCAAGATCACGATTATTAAACTGCGCAAGCATCCGAATGACACCGTTCCAAGGACCAATCGAATCTCTTCTTTGAGAGAAAGAGCTAAAACCATCGTCCCGAACATAAAGAGCCTTAACAATTTTAACCCATATCAAGTCCGGGTTATGAAAGAATCTCCAGCGCCATTTATAAAGCAAGGCCCGATTAAAGGAAAACATATTGCCAATACCAAGACCCCCATCCTTTTTTTGAGCTAAGACACGATCCCAGCGAACCCAATGCAAACATCTCTCATCTAAATCAGCACCCCAAAAAAATCTAGCTCGAAGAGACTCCAAGGTGTTAACAACGGAAATCGGAACCGTGAAAATAGACATCAAGTAACTTCCAAGACTTCCAAGAACCGATTTGATCAAAGAGAGACGACCTCCAGAAGAAAGGCATTTCGCTTTCCAACCCGATAGTTTAGACCGAAAACGATCAACAACTGAAGACCAAGAAGCAATCTGAGACATGTTCTGGCCAACAGGGACACCAAGATGAATAATAGGCCAAGAATCAGGAGCACACCCAACCTTATGAGCCGCCACCTCAACCTGAGCCAAAGGAACTCCCACTCCAATCAACTTACTTTTTTATAAGTTGGTTTTTAGCCCCGAAGCTAAATAAAAGCACCGCATGATACAAATGATTTGGGGAACGTTTTTTGGGTCTCAATTCGATAACAAAACAACATCATCAGCATAAAACAAGTGTGAGATATCAATCCCACTAATAGAGATGCCTCGAAAAGTGTTTGCAATATGAGCTTTCCGTAAAGCAACATGAAGCCCTTCCATAACCATAATGAATAAAAAAGGGGACAAGGGGTCACCTTGACGCAGGCCACGATGAATTTAAAATTCATCAGTAGGGGACCCATTAACAAGAACCGAAGCCATAGCGGATCTGAGAAGCTCCATAATCCAATCACACCACAATTTACCAAATCCCATAATTTGCATAATCTCCAAAAGATACTCCCACGAAACGGAATCAAAGGCCTTCTCAAAATCCACTTTAAAAATCATAAGTGGATTATTCGTGGACTTACTCCAAGCCACCACCTCATTAAGAAGAAAAGGACCATCCAAGATTTGTCTACCTCTAATAAAAGCAGACTGCTCCAGACTAATAATAGAACCAATAACCTCTGCCAACCTATTAGCTAATAATTTACCAATAATTATGTATTGGCACCCTATTAGACTAATAGGTCTAAAGTCTCTAATGTTCTTAGGATCACGAACTTTGGGGATGACCGTAAAGAAAGAAGCGTTGCAACCTTTTGGGACCGAGCAATGACCATGAAAATGTTGAACGAAAGCCACCAAATCATCAAAAATAAGATCCCAAAATCTTTTCAGGAAACCAAAAGAAAAACCATCCGGCCCAGGAGCCCGATCTGAACCACAGTCCCAAACAGCCCTTTTAATTTCATCCCGAGAGAAAGGAGCTTGAAGGAGAAAAACTTGATCATCCGTGAGGGTATTAAACAGATTAGGGTTAGTAATAGGTCGTCTTCCTTTTTTCTTCAAGAATAGGTTTTTATAATAACTTTGGAACTCCTTCTTAACCTTCCCAGGATCATCCTCCCAAACACCATCAATCATGATACCCCTTATGGCAAAATGACGCCTCTTCTGATTAATAGTACTATGGAAAAAACCAGAATTCTAGTCCCCTTCAATGGCCCATTGAATTTTCTCTTTCTGAGCCAGGTAAATTCTAGAAAGATGATCTAAATCAATCATTTCTTTTATAGCCGAAACTCTTTGTTCACGAAGATCAGCACTACCCCCATCTAGCATTAGAGAAGTATCAATCTCTTCGACTTTGTCTTGAAGGATTTTCCTTTTTCTAGTCAAACCGTCACGAGCACTAGAGTTCCATTATCTTAAATTAGATTTGAGAAGTTGGAGCTTCTTTTTAAAAGTAACCCAAGGATTATCGATCCCATTCTCAACAATATTAGAGTTCCAAGAATTATGAACCACGTCATCAAAACCATCGAGCTCAAACCAAGAATGAAATATAGAGAAAGGAGATGGGCCATAATCCACCCGGTGCTCTAATAAGACAATAGGCTGATGATCAGGAATATTCTTCTCCAAAACTAATCCTGTAATATGAGGAAAACGCTACAAAAGACCTTCAGTGACCAAAAAACGATCCAACTTGGAAAACTTGGATCCCCATTTGTCACTCCACGTATATCGGGGGCCACCCATAGGAATATCTACTAAATCGGCCTGAGCAATAAATTGATTGAAAATTATAGCAGGAGTGTGTTGGAACTGAGAACCAAACCTTTCAGACTCGCTTCTGACTTCATTAAAATCCCCCATGACCACGCATTCTCCAGAGAAAGAAGCAATCAAGCTAGAGATCTGGTCCCACAGTTGTCTTTTACAATCGTCTCTTTGGGGAGCATAGACAGAGATCAACAAGACATCCATTCTAGAGATAGCCCAAACCCCCTCCACCGCCACATAGCAATCCTAGATGGATACTTTACTATGAATAAAAATATTTGGGTCCCAGACAACCAAAATACATCCTGAAGCACCATGAGAAGGAGAAAAAGCATGAGAGAACGCAAGATTACCCCAAAAAGAACGAACAAGAGAAAGGTCAATTAGCTCTTTTTTCGTTTCTCGAATAGCCAGGAAGTTAACTTTGAATTTGATACATAGAGATTTTATCCACACCCGTTTCTCAATGGATCCCGCTCCTTGGATATTAATAGATAAACAATTCATAACTAAATTTTATTAAATCGCTCCTCTTGAATAGTAATTTTAACATGCTCAGTACAACTATGCATATTAAAACCAATACTCCTTCCTAGATCGATTGTTTTTCGGGATTCAACCTCAATAGAGTCCGTGCTGAAAGAACCCTCTGAGAAGACGTCATTCTATCCATATTTCATATTTGAAAATCCAGGTGGGTGAGATAAGGATTCATCCGTAGAAGGAATGCCCGACATACGAATATATCCACCTGAGAAACCAATCGGAACCTGTTTATTAGAATTTTCTGTTCCAGTTTGAGAAGACGCCGAATTATCAATATGAGCTGGAACAGTGGGGACAGCTGTCGAAATGGATGAAGCAGCAGGTACTACTTGCGTTCATCAGTAGGAGTGATCGGATCAGTTGCAGCAGCAGCTGGGTGGTCGACAGCCGGTCCAGGGACAACAGAAGGGCGAACCACGGAGGCAGCAGGCGAATTGGAAGTGTTGCATTCAACATGAGAGTGAGGAAAGACCTTTCCCATATCAGAATTCCCATTTTTCCCCTGAGTTCTCTCTCTGCTATTATTAAATTTTTTACCATTTCCCCAATTATTAAAACCTTTATGAATATCATTGTTGGCCTTGTCTTTTTTCATTTTTTCAATAGCATCATAAATACCAAAAGGATCCGATGAAACCTCCTCATTCCTTTCAGAGCAGTAAGAGTTGTCTTCATTTTGTTCAGTGTCTTTTAGTTCACTCTCGGCCAGATCAGGAGCAAGAAAGTCATGAACAAAGGATGGGGTCCACCTCGGGGCTTCTTTAACCCGAATACAATGTATAATCCCATCAACACTGACTTTGATTACCTCTGAAATGATAGTTTTGATAGTTGTAAGAATGCAGATTCTATTCTTGTAAATATCTTCTCCCAGGTCATCATCTAACTGTGCTATTGTTCCCCATTTTGAGAGAATTTTTCTAAATGACTCTTTACTCCAAGTAGAAAGAGGTACCCCTTCAACATCCACCCACACTACACGTTCTGATGGGACAAAGGTTCGATCCCATGCTCTCTTTTCTAAAAGCCAATGATCTATAGCTTGACTACTCATAAAATTTTTGCATGCATTATTGGTAGTAAATTCAATTAGCACCCACAAACCTCCAACATATTTCATCTCAAAATTATCAAATCCTTCATCCAAACATAGCACCCGGAGATTGGGAAGAGTAGAAAAATCTCTTGCCTTAACAAAGCATGCCCTTTGTCTTTGTTCAACTATGTAGTCCCAGAAGGAAGATCAATGATCTCCTCCATATTAGTGTTGTTATTTATATTATTAGGAAGGCCTCAGACAACATTAACATAGGATTTTACGTTCAATTTATGATGGACTGCTGTGGAGAGTCCATCAGATTGGGAGGCACGGTTATTATTGTCCAGGGATCGAGGGAGAGAAGCAAATAGTTTGTATGATCCAAACCAGACTTCACGAAGTTGTTTTATCAGAGAGTGACAATTACCAACATTTGAAAACCTAATGAAACCAAATCGTTTCCCCACTTTTGATAATTTATTAGCGATAAACACACCAACTATTTTACCCAGACGAATACAGGCTCGACCACATACCCTCTTGATGTCTCCGACTTGAACAGAATCCGGAAAATTAGTGATAAAGAGTGAGATTATGTCTGACCTTACGTGACTAGTTCTTGGTTCTTGGCTGCTGTGATGATCCCGACGATTACCATGCACGTTCACTTTCATGTTCCGATGACTAACTGTCGTCCAATCGTTTGATTTCACCGGCGTTTGGTCCCGCCGGCGACACTGTTTTGAAAGACCGAAATCGTCGGATCGGGGATATTGTGATGACCAAATAAGCAAGACTTACTTTTTAATATTTATTAAATATTAAAAAATCCTTAAAAATAAGAAAGAAGAGTATAATAATATTTTTAATCTGGACATGAGTTAAAACCGCAAACATGCTTGTTGAAAATGACCCCCCATCCAATTTTTGAAGGGTTTAGACATTTTCTTAGAAAAAAATACATACCACAAGGATTATTTTTATAGTTTTATCTTAATTTTATTAAAATACAGCACTTATTATCATTATATAATTCATGAGCATATAACATTACACAAAAAGGGAGGGGGTGTTTGTTGACGTACTTATGTGGGAGTGGGTATCATGATAATGAAAGTATTCTACATTTGAAGTGATTAAATTATGATGAGAAAAGTTGGCATATGTAATTAACAAATTTATTTGAAGTGATTAAATTATGATGAGAAAAATTGGTATATGTATACATTTTCATGTAATTAACAGATTTTTTTTTATCATATTTTAAATATATTCCTCAATATATGTTTGGGGGAGGGGGTGCAGGGTCTTGTTGACTTACTCATGTGGGAGTGGGTATCATGTCATTGAAAGGATTCTACATTTGAAGTGATTAAAATCATTAAATTATGATGAGAAAAGTTAGCATAATTAAAAAAATTATTTACTGTATCAGATTTTAAATATATTCTTCAAAAATATATGTTGGTGATTAATATTTTTCACATCTTTTATACACAAATTTCAAATTATTTTATATTTATCATTGAACTCGACGATTGTTCGAAATTCGAAATTCTTAATATATATAATTGTTTATTACGAGTGCCACATTATGATTTTTAATTGTTTAAATAGATTTGGTACCGAACAACAATAAAATAACTTTTGCTTGACCGTAAAGTTTTAGCAACCGGATATCTAACGATTTTAATCAAGATATGTCATCGGTTTAATTACTATAAAATATAATATGTATATTGATAAGAAATTGAAATATTATTATATAGCTTGTGTACAAAAATTATTTTATTGAAAAAAATGATGAAAAAGTTAAGTACGTAGAATTCTCTTGAGAGCTAAGAAGTATGGTTCACGGGGATCGTGCATGAAAAGACATACATGTTGAACCGTGTAGGCAATATCTGGACGAGTAAAGGTCAGATATTGTAAAGCCCCAAAAAGGCTACGATAGAGGGTCGGGTCAGAAACCGGTTTTCCAGAAGAAGAAAGCTTCGGTTTTGTGTCTGTAGGAGTGCTACACGGATTGTAGGAAGTCACATCAGCACGAGATAGAATTTCCTTAGCAAACGCAGTTTGAGAAAGAAACAAACTGTATGTGGAACGAGTAGCAGCGATGCCGAGAAAGAAGGATAAAGGACCTAAGTCGGACATGGAAAACTCAGATGAGAGACGAGAAATGACTCTCGTGATGAGAGATGTGCTGGAAGCGGTGAGGATAATATCATCGACATAGAGAATGAGATAGATAGTCTCAATGTCACTATGAAATGTGAAAAGAGAACTATCTGAACGACTGCTAGTAAAGCTTAGGGAAGATATATATGCAGCAAATCGCTGATACCAGGCACGCGGGGCCTGTTTGAGACCATATAAGGCTTTGCGGACACGACAGGCGTAATTAGGGTATTGAGAATGAACATAGCCAGGAGGTTGTTTCATGTACACCTCTTCATTTAATTCTGTAACATCCTGTTCCGGATTGTTTTGTGATTTCAGGCCCATGGGCCTTAATCCGAGTATGAGAAGGTTTTGAGGCTTTGAAGGAGAAAGGTTTAGGCCCTTTTGGGATGTGGGTAAGGTAGGTTGTGTGATAAAAGAGTTTGGTTTGTGCTTTAGAGCCCAAATGTATTGTTAAAGGCGCTGGTGCAGGCTTTTCATGAATTTTGGATCTGAGTTCGAGTGGGCTTCAGGAGGAATAAAGTTGATAGAAGTGTGGGGCTTCTCTTTACCTTTTCGTGGATATAAGGATCGTCGGAAACAGATTTATAATGAGGAAGTTGTGGCCTTCGGAAGTTTCGTGGTTTCAGGGTTAGCCGAGTACATTGGGCGTACATAAAGTGTACGCGGGGCATACTAGTGAAGAAGGCATTACGTTGGGCGTACTTTGGAGTACATTGAGCGTACTGGCCAGGATGGTCGCGAATGTTCTTTAGAGTATGTCACACCCCGGCCGTTGGCGGAAACACCGGGTGGTGTAACGTCATTCTTCGTATCACAGTTATATAACATACATTGAACAGTACTAAAGAGTTTTATTAAATACATACCTTTATTGATGATTGAAAGTTACATTATTGTTTTCCTAGTACTTATTACATAATATCCGACTATGGCATACTTCTTAATGAACATAAAGGATAATAGTAAAACTTCTCCTGTTCGAATACATACCAGCTTTTCAAGTTCCTGAAAACACATGCATTTTAAAATACGTCAACATAAAGTTGGTGAGTTCACAGGTTTTGACTCCATATAAAAATAATACTTTTTCTAAGTTCAAAAGTTTAGTTTTGAAAGTATCATTTTGACACTCCAACATTTAGTATATATATTAGGTATAATAGTCTACTTATCAAATAAGTGTTATACCTAAACATTCCCTGAACCTAGGGTATAAGTATGGGGAAACTTATACTTAACATTAATACTTGTATACGACAAAGTATAATGTTTCTAACAATTTGCTACCATTAGCCTGTAACTGCTGTTATGACATAATACCTCTGATAAAACTCACTCATGATTTCCATGAGGACAACCCACTCATGATTTCCATGAGGAACACCGCACGCTTCATCGACGCCGGAACAATAAACAAATAAAAGGATAGATCGTCACTTGCTTATGTTCGATTGTAGCTAGCAATCACGAGTGGGGTTGTCAACCCGTATACTAAGTATACACGACTTCCTCGCTCACACGGGATTAACGGTTACGGTTCAGAGGATTTCTGCTAAGATCCCCAATCTTAGTTGATGAATACAATTACTCATGTAGACTTCGACGGCTTCCTATAGCTCTAACAACAAAAAGCATTTTCATGTCTAAAACCCTAAGTTATTAGACTTTGCTTTTAAACATATCTCCTAAGTTCATATTACTTTAGGCAGTACAACAACTATAACTTGAGGAAGAAACCAGGTTTTATCATAAAACCAACAATAACAGCATATAACATACCAAGTTTTATCTTGTCATAAAACTAACAATAACAACATATAGCATACCAAGTTTTATCTTGACATAAAACCAATAATAACAACATATTTTGTAAATTAACATATAGAACTTACGAATATAACTTCGGAACAATATCGCACACAACATATATATATAGAATCCTAAGTATAACTCAAGATCTAAATTAGTATAATAACATTCTAACAAGTTGATAATAATTGTATATTTTCAAAATATTATATTTAAAACAACTATATCCCGGTTAATATAACTATCAATGTCGATACGAATATACTATCATATAGACATAATATTAACATATATATAATATTTAGCATGCGTTTTTCCCCGGAAAATATTAGAAAGTTGTAACATCCCAAAAATACCAGCTAAAAATTTCATTTTTAAATTAGGTTAATTCATAAAAACATCGTTACAAAACATTCATAATATTAATTTATGTCTGAGAACCGGTAACATCATAGTAAAATATTCAGAGTACATCCCAGAAAATCCATAGTGCGGAAAACATGAGAGTGTGTGATATGCCGCTACCGCGCCGGCTCCTGTCCCCTAGCTGAAGAGGTACCTGA